GATGCCCCGGGACGGGTCCGTGCGTGGGCGAGGATGGGCCCGTGGAGATGAAACCGCTAAAGTTGCAATAGCAATCTGCTGTGCCGCCTCTCGGGGCGGGGGGACGAGCCGCAGCATGAGGTGCTGACCGTGTCCCACTCGGGGGAGGCTGGAAGGAAGCAAACCACGCCGGGGAATAGACGTGAATTTTCCTCCCTGGTTCCTAAGCTCGGGAGGTGGGAGAAGGGTGGGCAGTGAGTCTCCAGAGGTGTCAGATAAATCAGGGAAGTCGTAGCGGATGACTGTCTCCCTCCTTGGGCATCCTGGCTCTCAGACACTGGTGCTGCTTGAGGGCCATAGGTGAGTAACTACATGGATCTGGTGCCTGAGGGCCAGGAAAGCACCCGCAGCCCATCAGCTGCAGACAGGAAGGGATTTCCTTCTGCTGGAAATAGGCAATGCGTGGATTTTCCATCACTGCTTCTCCAGTGTCTTGTAAAACTTCTGACTTCAAGGCATCCCATCCCCAAGGATGTGACAAATCTGGGGGGTCAGATACCTCAGGAAGTGCTTTATCTCCCCGGGAGACTCTCCACAGCTGCGCAAAAGTAACACAGAGTGTGCATCTGCCAATGTTTTGCTGATCGTCTTGGGAGCTGGTGGCACAGCAGCCCGAGAGATGGAGAAATGTCTTTTAGTGCTGGCCAGGAGTGTTGTGTGGCATGAAACCACGTAGCAGGTAGGACACTGAAACCCCAAGGGACCTGAGGAATTAAGTCATACACTTGCCCCACTTCCTGAGGAGCAGAAGCTCTTGGTGAAAGCAGTAGCCCACAGAGATCCTGGGAAGGGGGCAGAGATGGTGACGATGTCCACTGCCTTAGCGTGACCATCGTGCCTGTCTGTGTTGTTCTGCAGAGCAGCCGCAGAGGAATGAGAAGGTGCAATGTTCAAACCATGGTGGGACACATACGCTCGTTCTCTCCCCTGACAGGAAGCTTTCTGAACGCTGGGCTACGGCTTCAGGTGGCTTCTCAAAGACAAGGTGAGAAGCTTTCGCGAGGTGGAGGTACAGATGCTAACGGTCAGAGAAGGTGGCCTGCTCTTCCTAAAGGTAGCATCCAAGAGACTGAGGCATGTTCCTGTTGTAGGTAGGGAACTGGAACACATTCATTCATTCCTAGTACCCAAAACCTTACCTTCTTTTGTTACCCAGAAAGAAGTGCACTGTTTTTGAGGATAATACCAAGATCTGAGCTGCTTGAGATGCACAAGATGTTTCTCTCAAAATTAGTAAGGATTGGTAACATACACCAGAGTAATGCAGGTGACCTGCAAACCACATGTGGCTTGGGGAAGTTGCAGGTGAAAGACCCAAGCACACCTGAACCTTGACACCTTCCGATTAAGCTGTGAGGGTAACCATCGTCTAAAAATGGCACAGCAGTTTGCCGTGGGGTTTTCTGTTAACTTGCCCGAGGCTGAGCCTGATTCTCTCCCAGCTTCCCGTGGCGCAAACCACAGTCGATTCAGTTGGCGCAGCTACAGTAGGCTTGGCACAAGGGCAGGGTGAATCAGCTAAAGGTGTCCTATAATTTTCCATGTAATTCCTGCTAAATGTGCTAGGACTTGGTGAGCAGAGGATCTTCTTCCTTTACTTTGTCTTACGGCACAGCATCTATCTGTTTTGATTTTTTCTTTTCTCCTTATTTTTGTAGGCTGGTGAAAGAACTAGGAAACCAGGAGATTGTTCAAATAGCATGTGGGGACCGGCACGCCATGGCCCTCTCCAGAGGTAGCCTCTTTGAAGCACACTTTTCCCCAAAACGGGAGTCACGTTATGGCAGGCTTGCTCTCAGAAGGGAGTGTTTGAACTCCTTCCCATAGCTGGTGACACCATTAGAGAGTAACAAGCGGTGGGTAGGGGACACAAAGTGCGCTGGCTGTCAGCGCTGCCGTTCTCCCAGCACCCAGGGACCTGCAGATCTTTCTCTCTCCAATTCCTGAGTGCTGCCCCTCTGCAAAGGTGTATGGTGGAGAGCAGACGTGGCCGCCCCACTCTGCAGTCACCACCCTGCTCATTCTTAAGTTGGAGCACCACTCTGGTTGGGAACTTCTTGCAAGTATGGCTTTAGAGGTGGAAACACTCTGCCTTTGTTCTTGCTGTGCTGAGTCACACAGGCAGCATGGGACTGCCCCAGAACGGTCAGAAGCGCACAGGGAGATTTGGCTACAGATGATGGACCTTGGAGCTAGGTCCCTGAAAAACAGCACTGATTTTTCACTCCTGCTCCCCAAGGCAAAGACTCAAGGGAAACAGTGAGGCTGAGCTGTCTTCTTTTGTTCTGTGTGTGAAGGGGGTGAGCTCTTCACCTGGGGCCAGAACGCTCACGGACAGCTTGGAGTGAGGAGCCAAACCACACCCATCCCTCAACCACAGCTGGTGGAAAGACTAAAGGGGATCCCACTCGCTCAGATTGCTGCTGGAGGAGCTCACAGCATCGTCGTGTCGCTCTCTGGAGCTGTGTACTCCTGGGGAAAGAACAATTTTGGGCAGCTGGGACTTGGAGACACAAAAGGTAAGAAAGGACAGCAGTTTGAGAGGAAAGCAGTAGGAAGGTGTGTTCCTGGACAGCGAGTTTAGTGCAGACACAGGAGTGGCTCTGGACAGTCAAGCCCCTGCAGAGCAGCAGTGGAAGGTAGAGTCTTTTGAATAAAGAGTATCTGGAGAAGTCCTTTCTGTCGGAGCTACTGTACCCTGACACAGGGACAAGGGATTTAGGGGTTATATTTCTACAGAGAACTTCTAATCATTATTTATGGCCAACTGGATAGCGTGGGTTCATCAAACCATATGTCTCACAGGCCTCTTTCCACTCCCATTCTCCCTCCAGGCAGTCTGGCATGAAGGAAACTAATTTTATGCCTCTTTGCCTTCTTTAATTCTCTGTAAGCACAAGGTGAGAGAACAGCTAAGATAACCCATTGTCTTGAAACCCAGAAGGCTAGAGCAGGGTTGCCCTAGCCACAACGAGCCTGAAGTCAGCGTGATCTGAATTAAGTCCACACCCGTGAGAGTCAGATATTTTGAAGCCAAGTACCTTTTGGCAAGCAGATGTGAATGTAAATGAAAAGAAAATACTGTGAGAAAGACAGAACAGTTAAAGAGTAGGTACAGTGGAGGGTAGAAAACAACCCAAAACCAAGTTGTAAATACATTAATTGCTGTAAGAGAGGACTGAAAATTGCTAAAAAAACCTGTTTTCAAAATCTTTCTGTGAGACCCCTCAGTACTCTTTCATTTTAGCAGTGCTATTTTCCTTCCAGACAGGCGTTGCCCATCCTACGTTGGAGCGTTGGAGCACTGGAAGGCTGTATTTATTGCATGTGGGGCAGATCACACTGTGGTTCTCTCCAAGGTGAGTCCGAAATGGAAAGCCAGCATCTGGGACCTCACCTTACAGTGCTACAGGTCACCATGGAGAAATGGGAACGGCAGTGCCTGTTGCCATCCGAGTCTGATCCCCTAGGGGTGCTAACTAACCTATTGGGAAAACTGTCCTTTCCTCAGATTCCCATCACCTGGATCCAATCTTTGGCAGGGAGATGGGGAATGGGAATCCTGGAGCAAAGAGGTGCAGTTCAAGTCTTGGTACTTTTGGAAAATGTTATGTAGCACACTGGGGACTTCAGAAAATATGAACAATAGCTAATTTACTAGGGTATACTCATACAAGTAAAACTCAAACAACAGGAGTTAAATTGCAATTATTCTCAGGAGTTAAATTGCTTTTCTCAGGAGTTAAATGATTTGGACATCAGACAATGTAAGATTAGGTTTGATGCAAAGTGAACTCTCCCTGTGTTTGAATTAGGGATGTTTTGAATCAAGTCACTTAGAAGATACTGGGTCTTACTGGCTCTCACTCTTGGTGGTGACCATTTGAATGCCGTTAATAATGCACTGATCCTGTTGGTTGCTTCTTCCTCTTCAAGGACGGGTTGGTGTGCACCTTTGGAGCAGGAGGGGCTGGCCAGCTCGGTCACAACTCCACCCGGAATGAACTCACGCCTCGTGTGGTGGCCGAGCTGTGGGGAGCAAGAGTTTCGCAGGTTGCCTGTGGCAGGTGAGAAAGTACCAATTCAATGCCTTCTATGGTCAAAGTCTTAGGGGAATCACTGGAGAATAGTAGGAGATGGAGAGTCACCGAGATGCTCAAGATGTATCCCAGTAGGTCAGCACTGTCAGAATATTGTCCATTCCTCCTGCCACAGCCCCTGTGAAAACAGAACCCTCAGCCTATGCTGAGCAGAGGGAGAGGGCTTCAGAAAACACTGAAAGCCCTTGGTTTTTCCTTTTTTAAGAAATGAAGAATGTACTGGGTTCCAAAGGGCAAAAGATTGTCAAAATCTTGCATTGGGAAAGTCACTGAATTCCCATCCACTTTGACAAACTGGTGGGTCCTCTGAAAGAACCGAAGAAAGCGGATAATTATCCAGTTTCATTCTGCCTTTCTGGAACTGGGCCAGAAAAAGGCTCCTGTCAATTTTTCTGGGTTTTGTACCAGGCTCAGCAGCATAGAAGTTACTCTTGAAAAAATGGAAGGGTGTGAAGCTAGCAAGGCATAACACCTTAGTTTTATATGTGGAACCAGAGCAAATCACAAACACTAGAGGACAATAAGGAGATTTGAAACCATATTTTTTTTTATTGCTGGATGTATAGGCAAGGAAGGGTCCTAAGACTTTGGTTAAAGGGATCCTGTAGCTGGACTGTCAGGACTTTTAAAGACAAGCCTCGGCTATCCTCTCTGAAAATGTATCTGTAAATTTTGTTCTGACTAGCTCGGTGGTGTTAGCTTATTATGACCATTTTTCTTTTTCTGAACAGTCAGCACACCCTGGTCTATGTCCCCTCCTTGGACAAAGTCTATTTGTTTGGTTCTGGTGAAGAACAAGAGCTGGGAGATGAGAGAAAGCCTAGTCAGTTGATACCGCTTCCCGTCGATTCACCGGTGAATGCTGGAAAATCCTGTCAGGGTAATGACCACTGCAGATGTGTACAATCTGTATTTGTTTCTTCCAGGGAGATGCTTGCTTTCTCAATTTCGTGTTTACACTGAGAGGCTAACATTATGTCTCATGCTTGCTTGGTCATCCCCACGGATTTCTAGCAATGGGTTTGCCGTTTGATTTATCATCATGGGTAACGGCCACACAGAATCAACATTTAGACAGACAGCTACTGTCTGAAGGATTTTTTTTTTTGCTCTTCCACGTCTGCACACTGAGTTCTCTGAAGAAGATTACTATCTCTTCAAATGTTCCTTTGAAAATATTTTTATTCTTTCACAGAAAACAACACGTCACAAGGGATGATTGAAATTACTGCAGGAGGAAACCAAAGTATTGTCCTGTGCAAGAACAAGGTATGTGCGTATTGGATCCTGGCTTCTAATCTTATCATTGTTCACATTACTGCTGGAAACATTTGGATTTTTCATCTGCTTTAGCACTCCAAGTTCATGTATGTGTCTTGCATCTCTTTCCATGCTTACACTGGAACTAACTTGTGTTGCAGTTACATATTTGTTCTGTGGTTAATGCATCTGGGTGATGCTGGATGACCATTGATTTGGTCGTGCTTGGGCTGAAATCTTCTTGTAATTATGAGCCTGAAAAAAAGAATGCCATCCACTAGACCTGTAATCTTGTCAATATTTTAATGCATGTCCCACAGAATTCCTGTTTGAATGGAATTTCCACTCTGAAGGATGAAGACGTGGATACATGGTTTTCTAATTCCAGTTCACAACATTGGGAGAGTATAAAAAAGTAAGTCAGAAACCTCTTGGTTTTGGGTTTTGTTGGTTTTTTGGGGTTTTTTTCTTTTTTCCCCTGATACATGATTTTCTCTAAAGGTTATTATTCTTTGGAGACTGTTGTAGGAACTGATGTTCAAGATTTGATCCATGACAGCCCCTTGTACCAGCACTTCTTACCAAGGTTTTGCACAGGAAAAAGAGATGCTGATAAGCAACAGCCCTTCGATAACCCTTTTACAGGAAGAGGGCAGATGTGCTGCCTGGCTTCGGAAGCCTGTCCTCTTCTTGCACAGAATGGTTGTTATGTTGATGGAAAGCTGACAAGTTAAATCAGTGAAAGATTTGGTCTGCAGACTGAGGCCTTGTGCAAAAATCCTAATCCAGAGTACCCCGGAATGCTTTGTGTGTGTCAGCATTTTAAAAATTAGCAATCCCTTCTTTGGTTACCCATTTTCAAAAGCAGCAGGCATATACTACTGTGGGAAGCCTTACACTTAGGGCTGACAGTTATGATTACATAGCCTGTTTTCAGATCCTATGTGGGAAGTGATTTTCTTTGGGCAAGTCTGACTCCAGCTGCTGGTTTTCAACGTTTAAAAATCTTGGCTAATTTGGATCTAAATGTTTCCCTGACCACTGTTACTACAGTTTGGATCATACGGGAAGGGGTTGTTGCAAGGGTGAGAGAGAGAGGGTTCTTTCCAGATCTCAATAGGAAGGGCCTGACAGCAAATAGCTTGATAAAATAGCTGCTTTAATAAGCATCAAACAAAGAAGACAGGTAATGAGTATATCTAATGCCCACTCAGATGCTGGGAACCCAGCTTTCATGCAGCAGCAAACGGATGCTCTGATGGATTTTCCCTCAGCGTGCTATAAAGATCCCATCTATGGAGGGCTTCCTCTTCCCCCCCCTGTCCCCTGTGGCGTTGCCTTTGATCCTGCATAACAAACAAAACCAGATAACCTGTCAGGAGAAGGTGTATCTCCATCCTAACTGCAATGCAGGTTCCCTTACAAGGCCCAGGAGAGCAGGTGTGGCTTGACAAAGAGCACTAACTCCTCGAATATGCTGTCTTCTGCAGTGCTCTCAATACGGTGGTGCCAAGGAAAGCTTTATGTGGTCAGGCACAGACACGCTTGTACACGTGGTTTTTGTTCTGTCCAAATTAAAAACCCAAAGTTGCTACTTATGTTGGAAGGATTGACTTTGGTTTGGTTTTTACCATCAGGAATATCAGGCTGATCTTTTCATCTGACGCTTGCATCAACGGAAGCTTCCTGGAGAAAAGGTAGGGTGTGTTGACTTAGACGTTACAGAACATGTTGCCTGGCTGTAAACTGACCAGAAAGTGTTATTCTAGGCCATGTCTGTAGCGAAGAGTAGTCGTATCTGAATTTGCAAGAAGCAAGTCCACATTTTTCAAAGCCCAAGCTAAAATTACATTTTTTATCATCCCCAGTCCTACAGAAATTTGCTATAGAAACTTACATTTTAGTAGGTTATCCCATAGTGACATTTGACAGAGGATGATAATTCCTTTTGGCAATATTACAGCTCCCGAAGGATCCATAATAGCTCCTCCCAGCACTGAAGTGCAAGTCGTTTCAGGGTGAAATACAGGAAGCCTACCACTAAGACTGCACAGGCACACAAGACAGGAAGGACAGAATATTAATCGGGTCGCACCACAGTGAGAATATCTTCTTAGAACAGATGCGGTTGTACACACTGGAGCTGGGACTGAACTTCCCGAGGATTTTCTGATGCTTCACCATTCAGTCAGTAACAAAACCCAGCCTCTCACATCACTTGGTGTTCCTTTTTTCCTTTTTGATAGAGACAGACATTTCAGAACTTCCAAGGAAGTCTCAGGTGTAGACATGTCAGAAGTGCAACGTTTTTATAACAAGATCAGCAAGAAACCAGAGGTCTTCCAGGAGGTAAGGATTCGATATAAGGGTTCCCACTACATAGATACTGAGGAGCTCTGGATTTGTGTGCATGACACTTTGGAATTGCCATGCCAACCTAATTGATAGATGATTTTGGCAAAATGTAATTGCATTTTTAACCCTTGTTAACCTTTTTTTCTTCTGAAGGTGCAAAAGGAGATTGAGAAGTTACTGCCATCGTTGTCTTCCTCTCCCATCTCACCTGAAAATTTCAGAGTCTACTTGATCTTGCCTTTCCTTCTGCAGGGAGAGGATAACAGCTCTTACCGTTCTCTCGGGCTGCTAGCACAAGCCATCACGAAGCTTCAGCCCAAGGACCTGCAAACTCTTGGTAGGGTGGTATGGTAACAGAAGTGGATGATTTAATGCTTGGTCCTTTTCAGCTGCAGAGCAGGAGTTAGTATCACCGATGTGATTTGTTCCAGAGTTCAGCCTGGAAGAAGTGCTTTTGGTAAAATAGAAACACGCGGACTACACAGCAAGATACAAGGAAAAAAAATTCTCAGTCTGAGGTTTATTGATTTTTGTAGTGTAAAATTAAGCTTGTTTGTTTAGTTCATTTGATAAAAAGAGAAAATGCAGCTTCATCCAGAAATTGCAGTTATTTGCATGTTGCTTGTGTTAGATGCTTCACTAGAGGTTTTTTTTCCCAGAATGCCTGTGGTCAAATCTAGAAACATCCTTCTTCAAGCAGCTGGTCATTCTATATCAGAGGGTTTCCCAGAAAAACCTGTTTCAATTTGTCTTGGAAGTCAGCATTGCTCAAAGAAAACCCTTCAACCTGCACCCACATGAAACAGAGACTCTGCAAGTACTGCAGATGCTTTACCAGGTGAGAAAGCGTTTGTATCCCAATGAGATAGGATGTCCCAGTATGGGTTATTTTAACCCTTTTTACTTGTTGAATTCTGTGAGTTTCCTGCTACAAGGGAACACCAGCTGCAACACCAGCCCTTGGCATTTGACATTCCTTCAGGAGTCTCTTTGGCTGCATGCCAGCGGAGCTTTGCCTGCAGAGGCATCCTGCTCTGGAGCTGTGCCTGGCTGACCCTCTGCAGCAATGAGGAGCTGAAGCAGCATGTTACAGCCCCTGGCACGGGGAGGGAGGCTCTCAGTGGCGTGAGGAGTGCGTGCGGAGTGCGTGCGTTGATGTGCCAAACGCTATGGATGTGGTCTCCCATTATCTAGCATGCCCACTCCCCTTTCTCCTGGTGAGATCCCTCACCCCAGTAACTGCTCCCAGCATTTAAAAGACAACCAACCTGCTTGGCACATTGTGGCTGCCACAGTAACGCTGAGTGATGCTTTAAGAGCCTGTTTCCTGAGGGACAATAGAATTAGGGCATCTTTAGCTGCATATGAACAAGGGGAAGAAAGGGGGCAATAACTGTATTCTTGACAACCATCCTTTCTCTTGCGGAGTTGTTCAAAGCTTAGGAAAGTCAACAGCTCAAGCATGCACTTAGCATGAATCAGACTTGTTAAATTCTGTTCAGAATTGAATATACTTTTGGCCAAGAATGCAGGTTTGGGCCTCAAAGTTTAGACTCTTGAATCTGTATTTATCTGGATAAATAAACAAACTGAGAAGTGCAGCAGACCTACTCATCCATGAGTGGTTACACCATTTGGATCTTTGCATGTTCACTGTCCCCCCAGACTGTATGTTTGCCAAGCAACAAGTATGGATGTGAATAGGGAACTTCAGCTTCTCCTGCGACATGAAAGACCCTCCAAGTGAAACACCTTTCTTGATGGCATCCTCTTATGGGATCTTCACTGTAAATGAGCATCGCCCTGCTTCTAGTTTATACATGGCTTTCGGAGGCTTCTCACTGCTGAGTGCTGTGCTACCTGCAGCACTTCTGCCCTTCCACTTCTGTGCAGCTCTTTCTGCAGAGCCCTGTTACTCCTTAGTCCTGCCCTGCTGCACACATAGCTCGCTACGTATGCTGACGCCCCTTCTCACCTTGTGTGTGTCAGTGCAGGTGAACTCCAGAGCTGGTTTCGGACTACAGGAAAACAACTTCTATGTGCCTCACGTCAAAGAGATTATCGGATTTTGTTGGTCCTTCAATGTAGAAGAAGTAAGTATAAAATCTTACCAGCAGTGCAAAACACGGTTTCTGTTTTATTTAAATGAGTCAATACCTATGCGAGCCACCTCTGGACTCCAGCCCACCACATCTCGGAGACAATGCATTTTCCCTAGCCCTCCAGCTGATCTAAATGATGCAAGCCATTTACCATCCCAGTATTTTAGCAGCTACAGTAGTGCCTTCCCTGAGATGACCCCTGGTTCCGAGAGTCGCAGCTCTCCCCCAACACCTTAAGCAGCTCTGTTCGCTGTGAACTGGTGATCAGTGCGAAACAGCACCATGAGGGATGGCTGCTATACTTCTTGTTACTCTAGATTTTATGATGGATTTAATTAACAGAAATACTGTGAAGTCCCTTCAGACTTTCACGTAGAGACCCCAGCGAACGTTTCATTTTACTTACTGCTACAAACAAAGCCGTGGGAATAAAAAATAATTTGTGAAATGGTTCATTGCTCAATGACACAAAGGAGTGAAAACAAGCTAACAGATACCGTTGGTGTCACAGGAAGCAGCGTGAAATGGCAATATGGAAAGTAGGGGCTTCCTTAGGCAAAACATGCAGTTTTCTGGCAACTTGGCTGGAATTTGCAGGGCTGCTGCCAAATTCATTCTTAAGCTTCTGTTTGTACCGACTTTGTGCCAATTAACCAGAACAGAGGAGGAGGAGTTTGAGAGAAAGAATAGAATTAAAACCCAAACAAGACATTACCTGGAGTTGCTGCTGGATCATTCCAGAGGTGTAATGCTTTGAACTAGAGTGTTTTGTATATCAATATCTGATTTTGGTATTACAGATAATAAACCCAACCGTTTCTAACAACAGTGTAGCATAACCTGGGTATCCAAGACATCTTTACTATGTGTTTTGGATTAGGTGAATTATGGAAGATGCTATTAAACCTGCCATCTCTCCGTTTTGTCCTTGGGATGCTGTAACACATGTGTCTGCCTGCACAGACAGTTTGGATGCCTCCCTCAAGGTTTCCCACTCACCAAAGTGTTTAGGAGCTGCTTTTTGAAAGCGTGCCTCTGTTGCAGTGTCCGTGTGCACAGCAAGGGCATGTTTCAGAGATACAGGAGTTTGCCAAGCTAAGGACCGGCAGTTTGATCTGTACATGTACCCCCAAACTCTAATTCTGCAAGAGAAAAATCACCTCGCCTTTTTCTTTCCTCCTTGTCATTTCAGATGGCCCTGTGGAAGCTGACCAAATATCCGTGTATCTTTGACACGCAGAACAAGATTATTGTTCATTATATGGAATGCAAGGCGCTGTCCAACCCCTTCAGTCATGTAAGCATGGCCTATTTTTTTACGATTCAGAAGAGCCAAACGCACTGCTAACGCCCCGTTACTTCAACCTTCAGATACGCTTAGTATCGCCAGGCCAGAGACACTGGGTTTTCCCGGTCAGAAGACAGTGCCTTCTGCAAGACATATGGACCAATTTAAAAGCTGCCCCAACCCACCAATTCAAGAAGATCTTACAGGTAAGGTAACAGATTGTATTATTTGATAGCTCTGAATATATGGCACCAGCATTGTTCGGTTTTCAGTGTCACTAAGGAGGGTTTCAGCATTCACTAAACATATAACGTAACTACTCACCAAATTACTATAAAACTTGTTCCACGGGGGATGTAGAGTAAATCTGGAGGGCAGGATCTTACGTCAGTCTTTGCTGGCATATGTTAAATGCAAGTGGCAGTGCTACTTACTGTGAGGTTGCTTTGGGGGAACGCAATAGGATTGCTGAGGAGAGTGGCAAAGTCCATTATGATTACTGCTATGCTGACTTTAAAGACTCGAGGCTAGCTTGCTGTACGTGAAAAACCTGGTGGCGGGGGAGCCAGCATTAGGGCCCAGCAAGCAACATAGCCACAAAAGGCATTTCTCTCCTGGAGATGCTGCCTGGATGGAAAAGAAGGATTGTGCCAGCAAGAGAGATGAAAAGCTAGTTATAATGCTGCTATCTCCATGTGGCTCTGGTCTGTGGTTTCCTCACAAACCCAAAGGTTCTGGCAGCTGCCTTTTCTTCTAGCTCTACCCTGCAAAAGCCATCAGGTGGCTGACGTGGGAACAGAGCATGGGCCCATGGTGGAGCTCAGCTCAGGGGTAGGCCATCAGTTTGGCACCTTGCCTGCGCAGCGGGAAGGTCAGCCTCGGGGCCATCACCCGGTTCTGGTTCTTCCCGAGGGCGCCTTCTTGCCAACCAGAGCTGTCAAAGCTTTTCCTTCCTGTACACTTAGAAGAAGTGGCTTCTAGAGCTGCCTTTCCTTTACCCTTCCTCGCTAGATCTGTTCCCTTCAGAGTTGTGTCCTGTAAAGACAGTTTGTCAGTACCAAGAACATAGTTCTTTGCACTGTGGTCTGTCACTCCCTTCTCTAGTGTTGCTGTAAATGAGAACAGGGAAAGTTGGAGTATTTAGCAGAAGTAGCTTCTGTTCACTCTCTACTGATGAAGATAGTGCTAAAGTAAAAGATACTCTACATCTTTAAACAGCATTTGTAGCTGCTGACTTGGCTACCAAATCCTGAGCTCAGTTGGAGCTATTTTTCCCTCTGGCCTGTCAGGAAAGGGAGCATCTTTAAGAAAGATAACCAGCCTGGCTATCAAACTCGAGCACTCAAACACATTTACAAATAGTACAGGGACATACATCTCCTAAGCAGACACTGGAATATGTTGGATGCCACTCCAACAAACTCCCCCAATGCATATTTTTTCTGCAGCACTGTCATTTCCCCATGTTTTTCTTAAAAAGGCAGCTACTGGACAACAGACGTGGTCAACATCCAAGTAAATCTCTCCATTTAACTCAAGGTTTGTTATTAAACGTCAGCCTAGTTTATTTTATGTTCTCCTGACAGAGAGACAAATACATTTCAATACACACATCAGTTCAAACAAAATCAAAGCTCGTAACTCAAGGAGAGATTCACATCACTGCACGTTGTCACGGCTCATTATTTAAGACCGGTTATTTCAGTCAGGGTACAGTTCTTCCTCGTAAAAATGAACACCACCTAGATGATTTTCATTAGCGCCACTACAAACGCACAACACTCTTGAAGGGATACAGTAGAAGGAATTAGTGGTTTTTATTATTCCTCCTCTTTATCTTCCTTAGCAGTAGTTAATAGGCTGCTGCAGAGGTCTTCGTACAGTTCCAGATGCCACCAGGAAAATGATGACAGTCACCAGTGCCAGAAGGCAACTCTCTCAAATCAACTGCAGTACCAGAGGAGATAGAACAAGCTGTTGTTTTAGAGAAGCCCAGGGGTTAGCCAATACATCGCACTAGTTGTGCCTAAAGAGCTTAATCCCCATCCAGGTCCAGAGGTGGAAGAATACATAAACTGGTATTGTGATAGGAAGGAGGAGACTGTAGAAACATAAGCTGTTAGTGCTGGTGCAGCCCTGCGGAAAGGTTTCGTCTACGCTGGCTGAGTAGAACAAGCCTGCTAGGGACAGGAGGGGAACAAGGACAGTCAGTGTGGGCAGGGAGGGCAGCATGCCTCCTCCGGCCATCGGCCCGTTTAGCAATCTGGCCCGTGGGGCCTCAGGGCTGCTTCGAGCCCTCAGCTGGCGGCTTCTTCCGAGTCGTCCTGGCAGCCTCTGGGATCATGTTCGGGATGCCATCGATGACGGGGTACGCAATGCCCAGCTCCTCGTTAATGAGCTCGTTGGTAGCTTCTTCGTACCTGGCCAGGCAAGTCAGGGGAAACCAAAGCAAAAGGAGGAGTGAATAACCTGGGTTTGCCCTTCGGCAGCCCCTCTGGCTCGACTCGGGGCGGCGGCAGGCCGAGGGCGCGCAGCGAGAGCT